AAATAACTTATGTCTAACTTACTGTAGGAGCGCTTTATATTCTAAATAAACAATCGAATAAGGAAAAAAGATAATAATTGATTTAAAATAGGAACTAGGTTATATTCTAAATAAAATAAAAAATTGACTAAGGCAAAAAAAAAATATAACAACGGATTTAATATGGAGACTAGCTCATATTCTAAATATGTATAGAGTTGAACATCGGTCGGAATCGCAAATGAAGCACGTAGACGCACTAAGTCGGATGCTCTGCATGATGATATAAGTACATTTACACATAAGTTGAGAGAAGCATAAACTCACGATTACTGGCTGAAAACGTTTAAAATGATCGTTCTTTCTTTTATTCCTTAATGTAAAGAATGGGATTTTGTTTAACGACGGGATAAGAAATTACTAGTCATTCTACCAGATAGAAGGTGAAGTAATCACTGACGTTGATAGAGTTCATGTTGCTGATTGTGCCATTTTCTTATTCAAAATATGAAATAAGTTTGTGTTTTGTAAAAATTAATAAAATTATATATATATTTGTGGTATAATGAATATGCGGAAAAAAAGTTTGCAAAGGAAGTAATTTCTTTAATTTATAGCTTTTTTTTTAATTTAAATACAACTATAGATGTAATTTTTCAAAATTGTCTATCTATCTATCTTTCAATAGTTATGAAACACTTCTAAATTTTGGTTCATATTTCAAGTTAGCCAAAAAAATTGTGCAGTAATTTATATTGTACCTACATTATTTTTCATGAAATGTTTTATACTGTGTACATATAAGAGAGCCTGCAAACTCAACGTTAGTGATTCGCATAAGACGATTTACGTAAAGAAAGGTGCACGGAGCGTGAAAATAAATTTACAGCCTGACAATTTATTTTTAGGATTTTTATAACAATCAATCTTTTAAACGTATGATTTGAAGAGGATTTTCTTTTAGAAGACGTTTAACTACCTTGAACAATGTGTACGGTGGGGCTAAAGCGAATATTTTAAATAGATTTATCGATAGAAAATTCAAATTTACTAATTGACAACGCCATAAGATAAAAGTTTTCGACATATTCATAATTAATTTAGAAATTATTAATATAGAGCTATTCACTTCAAACTCCTGGTTTAGCAGTACTGTTTTATTGACATGCTGAATAAGGTTTGCTATTTTAAAGTATGGATTTTATAATGTGTAAAACTTACGCCTATAAGGTGTTCACAAGAGTCATTGTGTCCATAAAAAGTCGCGCATGAAGTATTTAAAATGCAGTACTAATAGGATCGTAGTCTTCGGTGGGCATGATATGTTGGATTGCGATGAACAGAAAGTGCCCAAAATACGTGCAAAATAAAGCTTATCTAAAATGTTTAAGGAAAATATTATTTTAATGTCTTTACTAGACAGTATCAAATTTCAATAGGCTAGTTTTAATTCCATAATTCTAATTATATTTTTTCTATTAATTTTAAATAGGTGAGCTGTTCCTTTTCTGGAGTACTCCTCAAAATCCAATATTGCTTGCTCTAGTAGCTGGACGATCAACGCATATTATGGAAAACGTTTCAGACGATGTTATCGTAGGACGAGCTATTGCTGTTTTAAAATGCATATACGGGAATGGAGCAGTTCCTCAGCCAAAAGAATCGATTGTCACACGATGGCGCGCTGACCCATGGGCGAGAGGTTCTTATAGTTTTGTAGCCACTGGTTCATCTGGCAGCGATTACGATCTTTTGGCAGCACCAATTATTCCATCCGATTCTAGTAAAACGAGTACCTCACAATCATCGGAAAAGCAAGGGTTACCTAAATTATTTTTTGCTGGAGAACATACCATACGAAACTATCCTGCAACCGTACATGGCGCATTTTTGAGTGGTTTACGTGAAGCTGGTCGTATTGCCGATTTTTATTTAGGATTTCCTGAGGGAACGCCATCTAGCGTTGGGCAATGCATGTTGCAGTGCACTGAAAATACTGGTGATATCAACAATACACCATTTACTGAATTAGCTTCTAATACAACAAATGAAAATTATAATGCTAAAAAAAATGCTTGAATATCATTCTTGGCAGCAGTAAAAATATAAATGTACTAGATGTTATATTTTATTTTAATTATTTTATTTACATAGTTATAAATAGAAAACACAGTGTTTACCAGAAGAAATTTATCGAAAATATTTTGATTTACTGTATTATGTAAATCACGGTGAATTGTTCAAAAGTAAGATCTCATTACAATATCTATTATTTGTAATTGCAAATAAATATATTGTATATATAGATAACATTGACTATCTTATATTATTGCAAAGAAGATTTATTTAAAACTCTGAAGTGTAGCTTAATTTTAGAAAAAAAAAATTTATTTTACATAATTTTCATTTTAATTTTTTATGAAAAGTATATTTGAACAGGCATGTGTTTTAAGTTTGGCACTTGCAGTCCAACAAATTATATATAGACCTTAAACTAATTAAATAAAAATTCGAATATTTC